GTGTAGGACCCTGCACTTATCCTTATTGAACCTCATCAGATTTCTTTTGGCCCAATCCTCCAATTTGTCTAGGTCCTTCTGTATCCTATCCCTCCCCTCCAGCGTATCTACCACTCCTCCCAGTTTAGTATCATCCGCAAATTTGCTGAGAGTGCAATCCACACCATCCTCCAGATCATTTATGAAGATATTGAACAAAACCGGCCCCAGGACCGACCCTTGGGGCACTCCACTTGATACCGGCTGCCAACTAGACATGGAGCCATTGATCACTACCCGTTGAGCCCGACAATCTAGCCAGCTTTCTACCCACCTTATAGTGCATTCATCCAGCCCATACTTCCTTAACTTGCTGACAAGAATACTATGGGAGACCGTGTCAAAAGCTTTGCTAAAGTCAAGAAACAATACATCCACTGCTTTCCCTTCATCTACAGAACCAGTAATCTCATCATAGAAGGCGATTAGATTAGTCAGGCATGACCTTCCCTTGGTGAATCCATGCTGGCTGTTCCTGATCACTTTCCTCTCATGCAAGTGCTTCAGGATTGATTCTTTGAGGACCTGCTCCATGATTTTTCCAGGGACTGAGGTGAGGCTGACTGGCCTGTAGTTCCCAGGATCCTCCTTCTTCCCTTTTTTAAAGATTGGCACTACATTAGCCTTTTTCCAGTCATCCGGGACTTCCCCCGTTCGCCACGAGTTTTCAAAGATAATGGCTAATGGCTCTGCAATCACAGCCGCCAATTCCTTCAGCACTCTCGGATGCAACTCGTCCGGCCCCATGGACTTGTGCACGTCCAGCTTTTCTAAATAGTCCCTAACCACCTCTATCTCCACAGAGGGCTGGCCATCTCTTCCCCATTTTGCGATGCCCAGCGCAGCAGTCTGGGAGCTGACCTTGTTAGCGTCAGGGAAGCCTCAGCAAGCAAGACACCTTTATTTCCACCTGTACTGAGCAGCAGGGTCCGGGTTTATGCAGGAAAACAGACATGGCTCTGGGTGTTTATGGCATCTGCAGGGCAACTTCGTGGGTGTTACAGCCTCACTATCTTATCTGTCTTTTTTACTATGGAAGAGATTGTGTTACTCACAGAACTGAGTGCCTGATGGCACTAGCTAGAGTGGTATATAGAGCAGGCACATACGGAGCAACCTTTCCCCTTCCTCCAGTGCACCTGAATTCTGACCTGCATTCCCCTGCTGCTCCAGGCTCGGGTTTCTCCACACAACTCTACTGAGGCAGGTCCAGAGAGAGATGCAGCCCCCTTTCCTGCCCCCCACCCCCTTCGTCCCATGACCCCTGTCAACGTTCCTCCCCCACTCTGAACTCTAGGGTACAGATGTGGGGACCTGCATGAAAACCTCCTAAGCTTACTTTTACCAGCTTCGGTTAAAACTTCCCCAAGGTACGAACTATTTTACCTTTTGCCCTTGGACTTTATCACTGCCACCACCAAACATCTAACAAGTATATAATTGGGAAAGAGCCCGTTTGGAAACATCTTTCTCCCCAAAATCCTCCCAACCCTTACACCCCCTTTCCTGGGGAAGGCTTGATAAAAATCCTCACTAATTTCCATAGATGAACACAGACCCAAACCCTTGGATCTTAAGAGCAATGAAAAAACAATCAGACTCTTAAAAGAAGAATTTTAATAGAAGAAAAAGTAAAAGAATCACCTCTGTAAAATCAGGATGGTAAATACCTTACAGGGTAATCAGATTCAAAACATAGAGAAAAGGAGTACTTGCGGCACCTTAGCGACTAACCAATTTATTTGAGCATAGAGAATCCCTCTAGGCAAACCCTTAAGTTACAAAAAGACACAAAAACAGGAATTTACATTCCATTCAGCACAGCTTATTTTCTCAGCCATTTAAAGGAATCAGAATCTAACGCATATCTAGCTAGATTACTTACTAAGTTCTAAGACTCCATTCCTGTTCTGTCCCCGGCAAAAGCATCACACAGACACAGAGAGAGGCTTTGTTTCTCCCTCCCCCCAGCTTTTGAAAGTATCTTGTCTCCTCATTGGTCATTTTGGTCAGGTGCCGGCGAGGTTATCCTAGCTTCTTAACCCTTTACAGGTGAGAGGGTTTTTCCTGTGACCAGGAGGGATTTTAAAGGTGTTTACCCTTCCCTTTATATCTATGACAACCCTCCCCACACCTGTCGAAGCACCTCTGTCCTGAATTGCAGCACCCTCTGTTGTTTCAGTCTTGCTCTGCACTGCAGCTCTGCCGGTGACCTCACTCTTGCCCCACTATTCTAGGCCTGGGCATGTCTTAGTACACCATGCTGCATTATGTGCTGCTAGAGGTGCTTTACATTTACATCATCTTTTTCGGAAACATGGGAGTGCATCTAATCCGTATATTTGCTTGGGCTATCACATTATTTTACTGTAAACTGCTGACTGACTTTGGCAGACTAAACGGGCTGGGTGAGTCCCTGTGCTATGGTATGTATGTGACCCAAGTGCCCCACCTTGGCAATGGATGGGGGTACACAGTTACAAGTCTGTACCCAAGGATTTGCCTAGACATGCCCAGACAGGCATGTTTTGCCTGTGATCAGCCTGATATTTCACTGAAGAGGGCCGTGTGCATAGGTGCTGGCTTCCTTCAGGCCTGGGGGGTGCTCAACCTCCCCGCTCCACCCCAAGCCCCCACCCTGTCCCACATCTTCCCGCCCCCTCCTCCCAGCATGCCCGTCCCCACTCCAGCTGATCACAGCAGGTGGGAGACACTGGGAGGGAGTGGGAGGTGCTGATCAGCGGGGCAGGAGGCTTTGGTGGGAGGCGTTGGTGAGAGCTGGTTAAACAGCCACTAATTTTTTTCTGTGGCTGCCTATGCCCATGTGTGGTCTCTGCTGAAAGTTAAGAACTCACTGGTCATCATAGTTATTGCAGGATGGATGGATGGATGGATGGATGGAAAAATTTTAAGAGTTATGTAACATGTAGAACATTGTGCTCCAAAGCTGCTGGAGGTGAAACTGGTCATCTGGGGCAAGGTGGTTCTCATGGCTAACTCACTCAAGAGTGGGAACAGCTGACAATCTATCGACCCAGCCCAGCCAAGTGTTTACACTCTGACAAGATGCAGGCTGGGCCTTTACAGAGCACAAGAAGCCCAAGACAAAGGTCTTCACTGGGGGTTAGTATCAGGGCAAACTGAAGGTAACAAAATGCCCTGATTATGAAAAGAGACAAAAGGTCTGGAACTGTCTAATAGGAGAAAGAAGGGCCCAAGGTGGTATCCATTAGGGAGGCAATACTCTGTCAGCGTCTCATGAAAAATGGATCCCAGCACTTTAGACCTGATACTTGAAGTGCTATATGGACTGACCGTTGGGAGAGAAATACCACGTTAGACAGGAGAGGAACTTGTTAGTAAATATAGGCTGTAGATTATGTTTCACATTTTTCTTTTATCTGTAGCTATATATTTCTAATCCTTATACTTGCTTCTATTTGAATCTTTACCTTAAGCTTTGTTAAATAAACTTTAACTTCTCTTTGATTTTACTATAGACACTAGTAAGTGCTGTGTGCTAAGGAGAGTGTTGTAACTGAGGTCAAACTAGTGAGCTGGTGGGCACTGCTTCCAAGGGGGCAGTGAATCTATGTGCACTGAGGGTATCCAGAGGTGAAGGGACTGAGTGCTTGAGTGTAATGAAGTGAGGTGTACAGACAGGTTAGCAGGATACATGCCCCGGGGCCAAAGCAGAACTCTGGGGGCTAACTACCTCCAGAAATTTAGTAACAGGTTCTCTCTGCTCTGCCTCAAGGACTCACTCAGGAAGCCTAAAGGCTGGGGAGTGCAAATTGCTAGCCTGCAGAGGGAAAGAGTGGGGCGATCAGAGTCCAGGGTAGGGCACTCATGTTGCCAGCAGCCAGTCGTTTTGGGTGAATTTCCCTTGGTGGGCCCAAACAAGTCTCCCTTGACCCATAAGCAGGCAGTAGCAATTCACCTATACCAATGGGTAACCTCAAAAGTATCACAATGTGCCACATGACCTTGTAGCTTATGGGCACACATCCATTTTTTCTTTGAAAATTATATTAATTTGAAGCTCTGGTGGCAGCTTATAAGGGGTTGGAGAAAATTCAATGTCATGCTGTCTGATTGGCTCACAACTAGGAGCAGGGCAGATGTCAGAAAACAAGGCAGACACCCTAAACTGATGGTGTTGCTATAATTATATCTCACCAAGCCAGTAACAAATATGAAATCCTGGACCACTATCCCAGTCTTTCCATGGAGTCACAGACTGTCCCCTTATACTCCCCAGTCTATCTTGCCACCCAGGCAAGCTGGACTATGTGAAAAATAGTCACACAAGAAATCACACCACATTCAGGTTGCTCCTAGTCCCAAGAAACCAGTCACTTACCCAAGATCTTACACCAATGACAAAAAGATGAGAACGTTAGCTAACTCTCTTCTTTGACAAGAATCACTGATCCAATGTATACTGGTCTAGAATCACAAAATCTGCTGGTGAATCTGAAATGGAAATACAGCATTTTACAATCATTCAAAGAATGTATTGAAATGTTACACTCATGTTCAGATATGACAATGCTGTGGGTTGGCAGTGGGAAATTAGTGGGAATTTGACTTGTTACTTTGCAATTTCTTACTATTTGCAATTTCTACTCAAGATTTATAAATATTGTAGAAATAACTTGGAATCATAAAGTACCAAGGGAGCCAGAAATTCTGTTCCCTATGTGACATTTTTACTAGGACTACAAAGGCTTTTTAAAAAAGGACTATAGTTCCCTGGGTTATGCAGAAATTGACCTTATAGAAAGTGGATTACTCATGCATGTGCCTGTCTAGCTTTCTTAGACATTTCTAAGCTACCATCTTGATAATAAAATATTGCATCCCCGTTTTTTGAATGCTTTGCTGATATGGAAGAAAGTGTTTACGATGAGCATCTTATTTGTTATAAGGTTCTAATCTGGTGATTTTTCTTGTTGCAGGATCTGGGAGTCCTCCTTGCTCCAGGCTGCCAAGGAAAATGATGTCCAAACCATCCAGAAACTGCTCACCTGCCATACTTGTGATATTCATCAAAGAGGTAGGGTACTCCATATGGTGTCCATGACTAGGATAGCTGCAAGGAGAGGACACCTTGGGACTGAGAGTCTGGAGGATGGCAAAGCTTCTCAAGCAGTAGAAAAGGGTGATCTTGGCAGGTCGGAGTGAAAACTCTCTTTGCGTGAGGGTAGGGAGTCCTCAGGATTGAGTGTATTACTCTCTAAGATTCATCTCACCAGGCTAGCAAAGGAACTTATGACACATATACATGATTCTCTCTCTCCAGGTGCCTTGGGGGAGACAGCTCTTCATGTGGCTGCCTTGTATGATAGTGTGGAGGCTGCACAGATGCTGATGGATGCAGCTCCAGAACTTGTCAATGAAGCAATGACATCAGAATTCTATGCAGGTAAGAATGCCAAGATGAATAGACATGGTCTGAGACTGCCGAAATGGCTGGGAGATATGGCATAGTCGCTGAGATTCTGTTAGCTTTGTGTCCAGATCCCAAGGTGCCCTTTATAAAATGGTCTGTTTCAGGGAATCATGTTTTACTGCCACTTACCTTCATTTTCAACTACCCATGGGTGCTGTTGTGTTCCCAACAGATCTCCAGGAAATGAAACCTATACATATTCCTTTAAAAGAGGGTGCATTTAGAGGGTCATTTTATCCTTGGAGGATATCCTATTCCCAACTACCACCCCAAAATCTGAGATCCAATAATTATATCTGGACTCCTAGCTAAGCACAGTCAACTTTTGAGTGGAAAACCTCCAAGGAAAGATCTAAGTGCTGGAAGAAGTAGTATTGATTCAGTAGGTGATGCTTTTCCATCTAAGTTATTCCTGAACCTAAAGTGTCCCAGTGTGGTGCTAGAGGGAGATATGCTCTAGGGAGTGGTGTGATTGATTCCCTAGAGGTTGGTCACCTCTCTGAGTCAGTACTGTCCCAAATGCCTCACATGTTGTCAGGAGGATGCAGTGCTGCTGGAGCGGCCATCTTCCAGATGAGACATAAAATCTAGGCCCTCCAGGGTGGGGTTATTAATTCCAGGGTTTGTAAATTACATTCTACCTCCATTAATTCCCTCTGCATTTTCACTTGGATATGGATTTTTTCTTAAGGGTCTACTGACTGTATTGTCACTGTGCATTGTTAAAGAGTTGCCTCCTTCTACCCCAGAACCAGCTGCAAGGGAGGAGAGAATATGGTCTAGTGGCTCGAGTAGGGGATGGGAAGTCAGGAGACCTGAATTCTAGCCACCATCCTGTTACTGACCAAGTCACTTAATTTCTCTGCATTTAGTTTCAGGCTAGATATTCCAGGCTCTTGCATACGGGTTAATGTGAGGTTTAATTGATAAACATTTGTGAAGTGCTCTGAGATCCTCAGCTGGAAAGTGTTACAGAAGTGTAAAATATGAGCAGGAGCATAAGTGGAATTAATGAGGCACTAAACCACTTCACTGAAAAGTGGTGAGAGAGAAGTTGCAAGTGTAAGTCATTTAACAGCAATTAATTTCACAGTTGCAAGTCCTACCTTAGGGCTAAGACACAATAAAGGCGGTATTCGTGAAAACACTGGGCAAAATTCTGCTGGGGTTAATCCACTGAAGTCACTGGGATAGCCAGTGTAACAGAGATAAGAGTTTGGGCTGCAATTTTCCAGGGACATTAACCACTCACATGCAACTGGAATTCCATGGGAGCTGGGCAGGTGACTTCCTTAAGGTCCTTTGAACACCCCAGACTTTGCCCATTGGATTTTTCAGCTATTTACTAATAAAGTGGCCTTGGTTGCACAGTTGATCTCTGAAGTGCCTCTGTTCCCTGTGGTGCAATGTTGGCATTACAAAAGGGGTGTGATTGTGTGTTGCAGGGGAGACTGCTCTCCACATCGCTGTGGTGAATAAGAACTTCAAACTTGTGAAGGCGATGCTTGAGAAGGGGGCTGATGTCAACAACCCACAGGCCACTGGCTACGTCTTCAGACTCAGCAGCCACAATCTCATTTACTTTGGTAGGGCTCCATCTGCAGGCCTTGACTGCCACCAGACTCTTCTTCTCTGACACACTATGAGTTCTGTGGCCTCTCTGGATCTGGTATGGTCTGCTCCCTTTCTGTCCCTCTCTCTGTCAACAGGGCCCCATGTGCTCTGGGAATTCTTGTCTATGCAACTGCTATGCAATGCAGACCTTGCTACAGAATTGTGCTCTAGAAGTTCAGCTTTCATTTTCTAAAAAATGTTAAATCTCTAGCCTTTGTGTAGACCACTTGCCCTAACATGACCTGAATGAAACCAATGGAGTAATGTCTGCCTGAGTCTGTAGCCAGCCTATCGTAATAGCTCTGTGATGAGCCTACTTATCCATTCTTTTCATTTGGGTGATAACTCTGAAGCCTAACGAGAATTATTATGCCATTGTTTCACTCCTAGACCAGGGATAGTTAAAACTGAAGTTTTATAAACTTTAGTATAAAAAAACCAAACAAATACACCTTGCACAAGCCCCATTACTGCTCAGCACACCTATCTATGTCTCTGCAACCAGAAAGAAAAGGAGTACTTGTGGCACCTTAGAGACTAACAAATTTATTTTAGCGTAAGCTTTCATGAGCTAAAGCACTAACACGGCTGCTACTCTGAACTCTGCAACCAGAGTATCCCCTTTGACCCCCCTGAGCAGACTTTCAGTCCTTAAAGGGATAGGGCACAGGAGAATATAAGCCTGATATTGCCTTATGAGTGCTACTCTCCCTCCTCATAAATGTAATGTCATCCCAACATTTCTATTTAAAAAATATATCATACAGTCCATCCATTTGACTTATTAGCAGTCATCCAAGTTCCACAAGTTTGTAACAGTCATTCTCAAGTTAGTCTTTGAGTATCTTCCTCTGTAACAAGCTCTGGTACTGACAGTGAAATCTTCTGCAAGTCTCTTTAGTTTATTTTACATTCAGCAGAAAGTTTCTGTGGCAATTTTAGTTCCATTAGCCAACTGAATAGTTAGTTCTGAACACCTCAAATTCCCAAAGATATTCATACCTTATGGAATAACAGTTCCTATACGATCAGTGCTATAACCATGTCATGCCAAGTTACTGGGCATATGGCAAGCTAGTTAGAAACCATATCTCTCACCGTGCCTCAGTGGGTCACAGCTGAGGATGCCAGATTCAGGACAAGCTGCTGAGAAATGGGGCAGACTCTCCCCAAAATGGTGGTTATTCTACCAAGCTAGTAACAAAAGTAAACTTCTGTCTCACCACATTGGTTAACACGAAGTCAAAGATGCAGTCTCCTTAGGCATCCCAGCCCTTATTTCACCCCCAGACACTAGACTTTGTGATGAGTGGCTATTGAAAACCAATTTAATCAAACCAAGGTTTCTTCTGATATCAAGAGACCATCCACTTAGCCAGGTAGATATATAATTCAGATCTTAGCCAATAATCACACTGCTGCCAATCCATTAGTAACTGAAATTTAAAGGTTTATTTATAAGAGAAAATAAATAGAAGAGAGTTAAAGTGGTTATGGAAATCATGTACATACAAGAGATTGAAAAGTTCTTATATCAGATTTGAAGCAGTGATGGAATAAACTGCTAGTTTGCAAATTTCTCTCTGGAACTTACCACAGCAGCTTGGGGGTCATGAGTCCTTGATTAGAGCTTCCTTGTTATTTTAGACCCAAGATGGAGTCCACAGTCACATGAGCAAGTCACATGCCCTTACATGCTTTGAAGACTCACAGGAGCAGCCTTTACCCATATTCTGGCTAAAGCATCCACAGGAAGGCTCACTGGGTGGGGACAAGCTTCTTCTGTGGCCCATTGTGAGTGTTAGATGTTCTTTAATGGGCCATCAACTTGAATAGTTCATTCACAATGTGCTGGCCAGACTGGATGTAAATTACCTTGGGGATGTTATCCCAGGAGCAAACACATTTGGGATATAGATCTATATAGCCTATATTCTTAACTTCAAATACTGTGATGATACACGGATATAAACAAGCTAATCATACTTAGCAAATCATAACGTTTTCATTAACATTGTACATGATTTACTTTGTACACAATTTGTTGCAATTGTCTAACAATGGCAATATTCATTATATAAATGGTCATGTTTCTATCATACAGCATCACAATACTAAATTAACATAATTATAAACTATCCAGAGCTATCAAATACTTCATTTCCCAATATTACATCAGCCTTGGAGAGAATGTAAGATTAGGTCCAGGAATAGGCGCTTGGTATGACATGTGACAAACAAGTGGATAAATCCATGATGCATTCACTAGTCCAAAAGTTGGATTTAGACACTTATAAGTAGGTGTTCCTAATCGTTCATATGTCAGTGGGACTCTTCTCTCGCTGGTCAGGTGACTTCACATGTTAGTGGATTGTTCTGGTGATCTGTCCTCTTGTGCAGTGCTTGTTTCAGGTTCCATGGTCTCATTTTGGCATTCATGTTTCTCTACAGCAGCTGTGAATGTCATATCACTCCACTCAGCTGCTTTCAAGTTTACAGAATCAACTACATCCTCATTTCCCAGGAATTGAGGGTCTGTACTATGGGCAGTATCTGGAACCATCACGTAATGTGGTTCATCTTCACCCTCACTGCTGTCCTTTTGTTATCTCTTATTGCACTAGCTTGCCTTGTTTTCTGTGTCTTATCATAGAATATCAGGGTTGGAAGGGACCTCAGGAGGTCATCTAGTCCAACCGCCTGCTCAAAGCAGGACCAATTCCGGGCCCAGATCCCTAAATGGCCCCCTCAGGGATTGAACTCATAACCCTGGGTTTAGCAGGCCAATGCTCAAACCACTGAGTTATCCCTCCCTGCCTGCGGTGGGTTAGAGGATGGAATTATATCCCTAAGTAAGAAGTCACAGGAAAGTAAAAGATTGCAGTGAAGAGCTCTAACATATCCTTTTACATCTTCTGCTTTTACTTCATAGACTGAACTATCCCCTTTCCTTTGAAGTACTACATGAATCTTATCTTCCCACTAGGATCTTAATTTGCCTTTTCCTCCTTTCTCTGAAAGGTTCCTGACAAGTACTCTGCCACTTGGTAAGAGAGCAGCACCATGCACTTGTGGAACTCTTGGATTTGACTAATAAGTCAAATGGATGGACTGTATGTTAGACGTTTTAATATAAATGTTGGGACAACATTACATTTACAATGTGTTGTCTTGTGGTTTCGTAAGAAGGAGGCACAGTCTGGATGTAGAAGTAAGGCTTTATTAGAACTAAAACAGAAGTACATAAAACAAAGGGAAGCCATGTGCTCCTAGCTGTGTAGCTGGTGAAGCTGACTCTGGAGTGCCTCCAGCCAGTTCTCACTGGCCCCAATCCAGTTCCCGTTAACATGTGCTCTGCTCTTAAAGGCCCAGTACATGCTCCTAACATTTGAGGGGGGAGTGTAGCACGCACAAACGAATGTCAGAATTAGATTTACCTTTGCCCTTTAAGAAGCTCTTTTGCGGCAGCAAGCACTGGGAGGGAGGGGGGAAAAGCGGGCACATGGCGTGCTCATGGAGGAGGCGGAGTGGAGGCGGAGCTGGAGCGGGGGCAGGAAGCTGTCAGTGGGTGCAGAGCACCTACCAATTTTTCCCCATGGGTGCTCCAGTCCCGGAGCACCCACGGAGTTGGTGCCTATGCACCCACCTATAACGAACCCCCTGGGTCCAAGCCATTTGGCTATTATAGCTAGGTGTTTGTTGTAGCAAAAGAGAGGGAGGGCACAGCTCCTCCAGCCCCGGGGCCACGGTGTTCGCAATGTCACAGAGCTCCTCACCACCCCAATGTGCCCCCTACCTCCCCTTCACCTGGACCACCTTGGTGAGCCCTCTTCACCCAGAACCTCTCCCCACTGAACCCCAACCAGCTGTACCTGGACCCCCACCCCACTAAGTTCTCCTGGATCCCCCCTGCTGAGTCCCCTACACTCAGACTGCACCAATGAGCCCCACTACTTTTGCCTACACCCCTTTCAGAATCCCATTGCCCCTGCATCCAGAACCCCCGAACCAGACTCTGTGCATTCAGATCCCGCCCCCACCCAGACACCTCACTCAGCTGCCCACACCCAGATTGCACCACACAGAACCCTCTCATCCTACACCTGGATCCCCCCACACTTGGATCCTGCTGGGCTGAGCCTGCCTGCCCACACCTGGTGCACCTAGCATGGAGGGGCAGGGCCCCAGGGTGTTTCTGGGGCAGGCCCGGCCCTTGCATTGTGTCAGGGTTGGGTGCAGCCTCACCACAGAGTCCATGTCCTGGGGAGGGCTGCAGGGTGATTTCCCACCTCCATGCAGCCAGTGGCCTGTGCTCCCCACTGCCATGCTGGAGGCTCCACATTTATTTATTGACAAATAAAATTTGCAGAATTTTAAAATATTGTGTGCAGAATTTTTATTTTTTTTTTGGCTCAGAATTCCCTCAGGAGCAGCAACTGCAGGCTGCTCCTGGTAAATCAGATGCAGTATCAGCTTTATCTCTGCTTTTCCTATACCACATCCTGACTCTGCCAGATTGCCTGCAACAACACATCTTCTTCTCTGGGCTTGCTTCATGTCTGCATGACTGCTCATACCATTATCAGTTCTTTTGTCACAGTCCTGGACAGGTTTCAGAGTAACAGCCGTGTTAGTCTGTCTTTGCAAAAAGAAAAGGAGTACTTGTGGCACCTTAGAGACTGTGCTGGAAATGGCCCAACTTAATGATCACTTTAGATAAGCTATTACCAGCAGGAGAGTGAGTTTGTATGGGGGTGGGGGGGTGAGAAAACCTGGATTTGTGCTGGAAATGGCCCACCTTGATTATCACGCACATTGTAGGAAGAGTGGTCACTTTTAATAAGCTATAACCAGCAGGAGAGTGAGTTTGTGTGTGTGGTTTTTTGGAGGGGGGTGAGGGAGTGAGAGAACCTGGATTTGTGCTAGAAATGACCCACCTTGATTATCATACACATTGTGAAGAGAGTGGTCA